TAATTTGCGGCTGCCCAGGTGAATACGGTGGGTGCATTTACTGCACATCATAAATGTTGCCTGCTGCATAGTGAACGTAAAAACCCATTAATTCAAAAAAGTGCCTCGGTATAATTTGCCAAATGTTCAAAAATTGCTCAAATGACTTAATTTAATTAGGAAAAACGACGTAACAATATAATATCCCTAGGCTTCAGGTCACCGGAATAGTTGACCTGAGATGAAAAGCACTTGAAGATGCTGCCATATTATATTTAGTAAGCACCCTTTACATGCAAATCCGGAAACTGAAAATCCTTTACCTGTGTGTGGACGTGTGCAGCACGTGGTGTTACTCACGAAGGCCTGCATTGCATACATCATCCCGGACACGCTATCCCATGTGCGCGCCTGCATGCGCCGCGAGCGCTTCGTCGTACAGACGATTCTGCAGCAGGCAGAGCTGGGCCGTCTCCGTAACACCCTCCTCACCGATGCCCCCAGCTCACCGCCATCGCCACAATTCCACGTTGAGGATGAGCAGGCAGAGATGGGCCTGCTTCGCTGCTCGCTGCATAAGGAGTCTCCTGGCGTATTGCACCCACCCCAGCGGTGCCACATGAAGAATGAGCAGGCAGTGAAGACTGGTGACGACTCACTGCTGAAGGGATCCGAGGAGGAATCAAGCAGCGAGGATTCGTCAACTGTCTTCTACAGCATATAAATCTACTCTGACTTTTAAAGGAGGCTGCTATCCTAACTCTGTTTGCACGTGGACAAGGACATTGCAGTCGAGGACTATCTGTATATATTAATAAATACGTTTATGATTTAACATGTCTCAATCATCTCATGTCTTTTCATACGAATCACGATGTGAATGAGGAAAACTAGAAATTATTGTTTTGTATATATTTTAAATTTTGGTTTAACATGTAGGCTGTCGCGCCCAATATCATCCATAGAGGTGTTTTTTGGATTAGATCGCATACATATATAAACGTGTCGTTAAAACCCGCCACCACTCGACACAGCCAACTAGTAAGGGTTGTCACGGAAACAGAACAAGCCAATTCGTCACTGGTACTTTGGAGAGCCAAGCCACAACATTTACAATCGGAGTACGACGTTTTGTCAGTAATTACAACTAGCTTCATCAGGCGACAGCCAGATTTGTGGCACTCTCGCGCAAAGTGGGGGGGGGGGGGGGGGATTACCAAGTCAACGTACATTATGCATGTGCATTATGAGAGCCCTTTGATCTTGTCCTTCCTGTCTATTGTGTATTAAAATAGCCGTACCAATGGTAATCCCTATTGGAGTATGCTGCCCTTTATAGGCATGCATTTAAATAATGTATTATTTGTTGGCACCCGTGTTCAGCAGTAGCAGAACACACGTGCCAACAAGGACACTCAGTTGATTTTAATGTTGAAATTCTGTGCAAAACTAGCTACTACTGCCCAAGAATAATTCGAGAATCTATCGAAATTGGAAGAAAAATTTACAGTTCGGATAGCTACCGCCTTTCTGCTGTGTGGAAGCGACTCATCAAATAGTACATTAGATGAAACTCCGAGTACCCACTCAGGAGGTATAGTGGTAAAGCAGTGGAGGAAAAAAAAGCAATTTTTTTAATTTGCCCTTGTTGAATGATAGAGCCGATACACACAGCAAGCGAGATTAAGAAAGCGCATCGGAAGAAATACCGGAGGAGAGAGAAGACAATTGCTTGCTGGAGAAGGAAAGGCATTCCTACCGAGGGAGACAAGTTGACAAAGATTTTGATAATGGGAACCGGTGGCGTGGCTCGATCTTCCCTATGTGCGCAACACGCTACCGAAAGAAAACAGAAAATCCTATTCAAAGGCTAAAATAAGCTCCATTTTTTGTATAAGAGCCCGATAAACAATAACCCCATCCATAGACTGAGGAAGAGAGGGAAGAGCCTGAACAAAGGGGAGGAGATTACGACGGAGATGGGTTGGAGGTGGAGAGAAGGGGAGAGGGGAGGCCGTAAAGGCAGCTGCACATTCAAGGAAAGCGGTGTAGAAAGAGTTGAACGGGGACATGGAGACAGCAGAGACAAGGGTGGAGAAAGAGGAAGGGAGGATCTTTCAGTGCTCGCTACAGGAAACCCACAAAACTGAATTTCCTAAACTCGTGTCGCCTCCGTGACAGCAGCACCACCAACGCCACAGACTCACGCTCCCCAAATCGACAATACCATCTCCATTGCCGACCAGCCATGAGATGGCTGCTCTCAACACCTCGGTCGTGGTGTAAGCAGCAAAAGACTTCCGGCTGGTGAGCAACCGGCCATTGCGAGGGTTGGAAAGAAACTGAAGCATGGGGAGACTCCCACAACCTTCGGGTATTTCCAAACTGGATGACGTCTTGGGATGAAGCTAGAAGTAAGCCAAATCTGCACTCAATAAATGGGACAAAGATTCCAGAGAAGCCTCCAGAAATGTCACAGGAGGCTCGGGTGTGAGAAACCAGACTCCATGTGGGGTCCTCCAGACCTTTGCCCTCCAGTTCATCAACATTTGTAAAAGCAGGACGTCTCAAAGGTACGTAGCATGGGTGAGGTAAGAGGTTGAGAACCACGTTCCGAGATTAGGCGCTTTGACAGGTTGGGGTCCGAGTTAACGTTTAATGGAGCTCACCCTACGACATTATGGATAGAAGGGTAGTGTGCCGGCACAATCCGGACACCCTGCTACACCGAAACACTCTGCTGCACCAAACTCCCTGGTACAGCTAAACACTGGCACGATTGCGCTCAAATACACACAAACTCTCGCTCGGCCAGTTGGTACACAGGTTGTCAGTTGTGGGGGACGCGGGCCCCCGGCTCCCCCCCCCCCGGGGGAGGGCTGATCTCGGGAGGGCTGCGGGCTCCGGACTCCTCGCTCGAGTGAGAGCAGCCTCTACTCGACTCCTCGCTCGCGGTGAGAGGGCTGCCGCTCTCCGGCTCCTCTCCTCGCGCCGCAGCCCCTCGGGTCCGCGGGTCCTGTTTGTGGGGCATAGCTCGGGGCTGGCACGTGGCTGCCTGGAATCAATCCGTCGCTTCTCAGCCACTCAAACGCGACGTCTCCGCTCACACAACCCCGCGCACCACTCACACGAACTGAACGGGGGGTCAGGGGTCAGAGGGCAATGACGTCCTTCGCACACGCGTTGCCGCCGATGCCGGGCAATGGAGATTGTTTAAAGGGCTGCGGGGCGGGGATTTGGAGTCAGTTTTAGAGCGACACACCAATCGCACGCGCGGGACGGGGGGGTCGGGGGTTAGAGGGCAGGGACGTCACTCATACACGCGTAGCCGATTGGGGGGCTGTATTGGAGATTATTTAAAGGGCTGTGGGGGCGGATATTCGGGATTGGTGTTAGCCCGCAGTCACGAAAGCTTTAAATCGAAATTTATGTTAAATGTAATGTGTTGGTGTTAATAAAGTGTTGCCTCCCAAGAAGTTGTGTGCGCCTATCTCAGCCCATTACATATAAGTGTAGACGTGATTATGTAATTCTTGTGTTCATACAAGTGTAGTGACACAGCGCTGACTGCTGTCCAGCAGCGGCAACTGCAGTGGAAAGTTTGCACACACGCCGTTGAGCATATATACGGGTATGCCGGCTGGGCAGAGGAATTGGGGCAAGGGTCATGGAAGACCTCATAGGGAAGCCTCTGGAACCCTCTGGTCGGTTCGAGAAGGGAGGCGTGGATAGGGCAGAGCCAAGCCGCGCCGAGTAGAATATAGAATATAATATAAGCAGCGGAGAGCGAGAGCTCCGGGCTGCCGGTTCTGGGAGTGGACTCGTCTCGTCGTCGCTGTCGTTGACACCGCATTCGCCCAATCATTGCGTGGCCAGACAGTAGTTGGCCTTCTCGGTCGATGCCGTCGGTGCAACACGGACAGGGTCGTGTCTAGGCCGGGCTCTATGGCAACGTGGTCGAGTGAGGCCGGAGTTGGTGTGAACAAGATAATAAAGAGACGATGTCTCCTGCAATTACCTCGTCTCCGACAGTGTGTGCGACACACACCACACGTCGGAAGGAGAACACTTCACAAGTATAAATGCTGCCTGTGTCAGTCGAGTCACATTTGCTCTAATTTATTTTGGTGACCTAAGACAAGAGAAGCAAAATGCACTTATTCTTAGTTTTTTCGGTAAAGTCACGTTGAAGGGAAACAACAAAATAATAAAATATATATAAAACAATAAAAAATTCTCACGACGTTTCGACCATAACTCAAACGGTCATCTTCAGGTACACCTGAAGATGACCATAACTCAAACGGTCATCTTCAGGTACACCTGAAGATGACCGTTTGAGTTATGGTCGAAACGTCGTGAGAATTTTTTATTGTTTTATATATATTTTATTATTTTGTTGTTTCCCTTCAACGTGACTTTACCAAAAAAACTAAGAATATGAATTACTGCAGTCACGAAAGCTTTAAATCAAAATTCAAAACGCACTTCTTCAGGAAGTGATATTTTTTTCATAATGCAGAGGCTGTGCCTGATACACATCTTTCATGTGTTGTTTGGCAACCCTGGTGCCCAGTAAACGCCATATGGCCAGATCTTTGCATTGAATTCCAAGTATTAATTCCTCCATACTTGTGCACAGTTGAGTTTTTATTCCATTCCCTTCATGAACCATGTCTTTGAACTTTACATCATAGTAAGATAGTACATGCCGATGAATAATTAATAGATGCTTGAAAACATCTATCCCCAATCATCTGCCTGTGTTTGGCCTAAAACCCAATCACCCAGAATGCCCAAATTCACCTTACATACTCTAGGAATGTAAGCAGGTTAATGCTTGGATATCCATCACAATCATCACCCCCAAATGTGAAGACATGTCACGAGACTCGCTGACTTTTCTTAAAATACTTGAGAAATACAAATCATAGCTGAATATTTTCAATTCCATGTGTATAAGCCTTTGTCTCAGATTTATTGTAAAATAAATATACATGTACAATATAAACATTCAAATATCAGAAAATATTTAATGTATGTTGAATTTCTTTCACACTGTACATAACCAACCATGCTAAACAAGACATGATAAAAACAATCCAAGTCATGGGTTGCATACAATATGCAACTTTGGTTTATTGATTACAAGTTACATAAAAGGTTCTGAAATTTTACAATACAGGTATAGTGCAATCTAAATAAGCAAATGTACTTTTACAGTGATTTCCCAAATGTTTATAACTACACAAATACTAGCATGTATGTTCCCAATAAAGTAGTCTCCTTCCAAAATGGCTAAAACCAAAATAAGTTTAGTTGTGCTCACAATATTTTTCACATATCCGTTCTCTTTCAAGTGACATTTGAGTCTGCATGGATTTGCTGTGCAAAATACTGCTGCAACCATTCACTAACTCCAACCCTGAACGAACTTCATCACATTTTTCCAATACTTTGTTGTGGCACTTCCATTAACAGGGCAATTACTGTGCCCCACGGGCCCCACAAGTTCACAAGTAATTGCAATTCACACCACAGCACCTGAAGTACCATTGATGTTTAACAACCATGAATTAGCAGGACCAAGCGAACGTATCCTTCTGAGTACAAACCTCGACCACCGCCTTAAAATGCAGCCATCCTTGTTCTCCTTGATGGTGTCAACCAGCTCTTTCAGACGCGACAGGTGGTACACGGCCCTGAGAAGAGACACGATTGAGAGAAAATTACTTGGTTGACTTATCATGGTGGAAGCCAGAAAAATCTCACCAAGTCTCAGGCGGGTTTGGCAGTGATATTTTGCAAATTTCATCAGCGAGTGGTATGTGAGAGGAAATCGGAGAACCCAGTGAAAACAGAGGGAGTAAAATGCAAAACTCCGGATATAGATTCAAGATTCCATTGCTGTATTACTAACTCCTGGTTACCTAGCAGCCAAAATATATAATATATGCTATTACCAAATAGTCTCCCATCCAAGTAATAACCAGGCTTACCTGCTTAGCTTATAACATTCATAATCTGACATCATACTTAGAGGCGGTGCAGCCTCTATGCTGTGCGTGAGTGTGAATATAAAGATAAATTCACAATGGCATGGAGGGGTTTTCCCAGGGACGATCAGCCCCTAGGAAGACGTCCGTGTTGAAGCTGCCCGGGGAGGGGGCCTCCAAGCCGGGGGATTCCAACTCCATGCGCGCCCTGCTCAGCAGCTCCTCCAATGAGGCTGTGCATCAAGAATCACGCATCGCACGTCACAACCACATGGGTGGCCGCTCAGTCGTCTCTGTGAGAAAAGACTGAATATGTACCTGAAAACATATGAAATGTCATCTGCTATATACAGACTATATATATACACACACACCTAGGGATCTAAGGTCCTCTGACACGGGCTCCTCGTTGGCTACATTCGTAAGGCCGGAGATGTCCAAATCTTTGAGCCACTCTGGGTACTTTGGTCTGCTTTGCGGGCTCTGAGCGGCAACTGCTCTCTTCGTGCTGGTATCCGTCTCGTGGCTGCTGGTCTGGGAGTCCACATCGCAGTCACGCAGCCAGGCCGGGTACCTGAGCTCAGGAATGCTCGTGATCCCCGACACATCCAGCTCATCCTTTTGGCTTGTCAACCACCTGGGATAGGTACTTGTCGCACAGCCGCCGTTCGGCAAGTGCTCACGCCTAGTTGCTTCACTGCTCCGTAAGTACAACAAAACATTCTTCTGGTTAGAAAAGAAATATTTTTTGGGCTTTGCCGACTCATTTAATGGCATCAGGGCCTTGTTGCTTCTCGCTGTTGAGCTCAACCGTTCAGTTGGCTTATTGCCCCTCACCAATGATGCGCCGAGGCTGTGCGCGGTGACCCCGAGAGATGACCGCTTGCCTCTGTGCGACACTGCGAGGTCTCGGTGGGCGCCAGGCGAGCGGAACAAGGACTTGGAGGAACCGTCAACTGGCGCCTCTAGGAGCTGGTCCGTGGTTAGACTGACCGTCGGGCTATAAGCCATGACCGCTGCAGCGCAGCAGTGAGGCTGCACGTGCCCGAGATGAGGTCCTCCACAAGCAGCATGCCACCTGCAATGTAAGACCCACAGACATTTTACTGGTACACAATGAATTTGCTCTCCCCTAGATTCCTTGACCCCTGAACGGCAATCCTGCAATGTTGCCTTACTTTGCACCATCAATAACTAATGATGTTATCCGTTTGTGGAGTTTGTGAGAATATGGGATAAATCAGTGCATGAGCTGTTATTGTTTAAACTTCAGATGTGTCCAGTCTAGGATCTGAAAATTTTGACACAAAGGTTGGAGGATCACTTAGATTTCACAAACTTTACAAACTCGATAATCAGTGAAGTTGCTGGAAGATGACAGGAGAAAGAAATGCATGCACCGACCTATCTGTTCAGACCTATGCTATCCTCTCATATGCGTGTGCTTACTGTGGATAGTTTTCTCTGACATAAAATGAACTCATTAATGGAATTTGCCAAGCATCCCAGTGTGGGACTCTCACGAAAATGTATCTTTAGACCTTATTAAGGGTTTTTTTTTCTAGGGGAATTACATTACATTCATGATAGCATAGCATAATTGACAAGCACCCAGTACAAGCAAATAAATGGGGTTCTCCTCTCCAATTATCCCCCCTCCAGTCAACTAGCTTCGATACCTTATGAGACCTCCTTTGCCAGTAACAAGATATAGTAATAGGTTTTTACCCTTTTATCTGGCACAAAAACTGACACCTTTATACAAGGGATCATGTTTGCGATAACCACAACGCAAGTAGTCAAAATGCAAACAAGAAGACGCTAAGAATAAGAAGACGCCTTTTTGCGTCTTCTGGTCCAACACCAGTGGAGACTGGGATCTCAGAAAAGCCATCTCGGGTGTGGACCAATCAAATTCAAGGACAGTGCATATTATCAGAGTTGTCTTTTTTGTTTGCATTTTGACTACTTGTGTTGTGGTTATTGCAAACATGATCCCTTGTATAAAGGTGTCAGTTTTTGTGCCAGATAAAAGGGTAAAAACCTATTACTATAGCTTCGATACCATTGCACCGCGTGCACACTCGATAGCCACTCGAGTGCAAGCACCACGGAGCGATTCCTCGCGTGGCGAGAGGCGCAACCCACCCTCATCCACACTGTGCATCCTCCTCTCCTCCGCGCGTCTCCGCTCCGCCATGCTGCGCGGCGCTGTGCTCTGCACGTATCCTGGGTGGCGGTGACGCACAGATTCCGCTCTGCTCAAAGTCCTCGATGTAGGCGTCCAGCGCACCGCTCGCCTACGAGCAGCACCGCTCTCCGCACACCACAGGGCTGCGGTAACCCCCGCTTCCGGTCCGGAGCAGCGTGCTGCCCAGGCTGCCGCGAGGGCTTGTGTCCGTCACCGTGCTGTCGCCCGAAGGGCTGTTTGTCTCACCACCGTTGCAGTACATTTTGTACGATTTGGGATGCCTGGACCGGATGGGGCCAGGGAGAGGAATGGCTGTGGCTACAAGGTCACCACTGGTCCTGGTATGGGGGGCACCATGAGGAGCTGCTGTGTGCGGAAAGTGGATCCGCCGTCGCAACGCGATCGCATGGGCCAGTGTCGACCACTTCGCGTTAGGTCTCTTAAGCTACTGTGGCTGTTGTCCTTTTTTCAACAAAAATTCCAGCCTTTCCCATGGTTTCCTTCATCACACCTGCAAGCTCTATGTACAATTGAAGTGTCATAAATGCACTACCTGCCTACTACTACATTATGAATGATATACATTTAAGAATTAGCTGGAGACAACTCCATGTTTAAAACACACTCTATTCAAAAGAGAAGGCTTAACATTTAACATTGGTTAACGTTTGGCATGCACACCTGCATATAAAAAAATTACCGTACTACTAATACAATGAATGCTAAATATTACGTGGTATTACAGTAGTATGACTACTTATATTTATATATTATCGCACCTCCGAAGAGCACGGTTGGCTTTGTACGATGCGAAAGAGGTTCAACACACATACAGAATACAATACTTTCCGAGCACATTATGCGTACCGAACCTCCAAGTTCCTTACCCTACCCTGAATAAGAATGTGTGCGGAGTACAGCTCCTTTTTAAATCCATTGCTGGCTGACAGCTGTCCCATGCTATGCAGCTCACAGGGGGAGGGGTTATTTACCATACTTCACCACGCTGGTCAGTGTGAGTTTGGTGATGGCAGGGGGCTATAGAAGTGCATTACAACCATGTACTGAATATTGCTGCACTGATGGCAGGGGGCTATAAAAGTGCATTACAACCACGTACTGAACATAGCTGCATTGGTAGCAGGGGCTATAGAAGTGCATTACAACCACGTACTGAATATTGCTGCACTGGTGGCAGGGGGCTATAGAAGTCCATTACAACCACGTACTGAATATTGCTGCATGGATGGCAGGGGGCTATAGAAGTACATTACAACCACGTACTGAATATTGCTGCACTGATGGCAGGGGGCTATAGAAATGCATTACAACCACGTACTGAATATTGCTGCACTGGTGGCAGGGGGCTATAGAAGTGCATTACAACCACGTACTGAATATTGCTGCACTGATGGCAGGGGGCTATAGAAGTACATTACAGTATACATCCTTTATCAAACTGTATCGTCAACTGCAGACCACGCTAGTCAATGAACGCTAGACTCCCATCACTCAACTCGCACATCCATACCCTGAACCATACGCCTCACTGCTTTGGCGAACAACAATCAATTATCGTTACGTATCACACTCCATCCACAACTCCTCAATAAATACACCACTTTCATATTGCACACACCGACACCCAGACATAACTTACAGGATATATGTAATATCCACATTCTAACTGCCAAATGGAAAACTATTACAACAGTGCTGAAGTACCCAGTATGCATTCTCTGCAATATTGATGTTTTTGTTTATTTTGTTGCTATTGTACCCACACACAATGGATCTATCTCCCTTGTAAAATAGCAAAGCAACTAGCTAAGTGAGACCATCCCTGTAACAAATAAGGTGAACTCAAACAGTTGATTGACAAAGAGCTGTGCAAATTTTTATTTTATTAAGGTCTGCTGAAGTGACACCGACTGAAGCAGTTCAGTGATGCTACTTTGCAGAGCCGTTCTCTGATTGATTCCCATGTGAGGCTCTACTCACTGTAAGAGTTCAAGAAGTTTCCTCACCTCTTGACTTGACTCCCACAGTGACACAACTGAGAACAATGTATAACACAGATGGTCAATTTTGTTTGACAGAAGAAGAGGACCGAATATCAGGCAAGCCTGATGAAGATGGGGCTAGATCTCGAGATTGAACCCAAGGAGGTAAGTTTCCTGCGTGTCTCTCTGCTATAGATGACAGACACTGTATACAAATAAAAAGGTGTTAGACTGTAATTGCTTCATAATATCACTGCTGGCATACATTCCTTGAGTAGGAGCGCTAAAGATCCCCGCTGGAGGGTATATGGCCTACTCATCTATGCTTGCCAGACGTCTTGAAAGAGATAGCGAATACCCATACTTTACCCCACCATGCACAATCTTAAGATGGATTAATTGTGGCTTACCCATTTTATACTGGAGGGTATAACAGTCTCCACCTTAATGTGGCATGCCAGCTATTTATACTGTAGTAATAAGTGTTCGATAACTGCACGTACATTATGCAATTTGCTTTTGGGTTGTGCCACACGTTGATCGGCACGAGGTGCTAACAACACGTGACACAAGCACGAAAATCCACGCGGCCGTGGACACTCTTCCAAATGAGACCATCCTGTTCCCTTGAACTCTCACCTGGTCAAACAAAGTCTAATAAATACAACTAAATGCACTCATCTAGAGTCTGACGATGAACTTCGTGCCATCCACTAGGAGTCGGTGAGCGGACGCACCACCTTTGTGAAAGTACACGCGCCATGGAACCCACTCACCACCTATGCCGAGATTCTACACATCCAGGCAAGATTCTGATGGTCATTGTAATGATGATCATGATGATGCCGATGATTGTGATGATGATTGTGGTGATGATTGTGATTATGATGGTGATAATGAATGTGATGACAATAATGTTTGTGAAGATTCATCATGGTTGTGATGATAATTGCGTTGATCATGCATGTGATACAGAGTATGATGGTGAGGGTGATGATTGTGATGATTATAATTTATGACGTTCAACGATAATAATCGTAGCACTGACATTACGAGATATCGAGAGACGTAAATATACAAACGGATTAGAAAAACGTACATTTGAAAAAATATGCATATTAGCAACATATTGACTCTTTTTAGAAAAGTGAATGGGCTCGGGAAGGGCACGTTGCTTGAAGGGATGATGTCTGCTGGCCGAAAATGACATTGGAGTGGCAGCAGAAGGAGAGAACGTGCCCAAGATGATGTATATCATAGAGATGGCGAGATAAGATTGGCTCATGTGCGTGTGCTCATGACTGGAGATATTGGTGGGACAACTTGAAGAGTGGGTGGGGTATGCAGTGGAGGCTTTTGGCATATTAATTGTTGCATTATAGGACTTGTATTATAGGACTTGTTGTATTATAGGACTTGTATTATAGGACTTGTATAGAATGTTGTATTATAGGATGGTTGTATTATAGGACTTGTTGTATTATAGGACTTGTTGTATTATAGGACTTGTATTATAGGACTTGTTGTATTATAGGACTTGTATTATAGGACTTGTTGTATTATATGACTTGTATAGAATGTTGTATTATAGGAATTGTTGTATTATAGGACTTGTTGTATTATAGGACTTGTTGTACTATAGGACTTGTATTACAGGACTTGTTGTATTATATGACTTGTTGTATTATAGGACTTGTATTGTAGGACTTGTTGTATTATAGGACTTGTTGTGTTATAGGACTTGTATTATAGAACTTGTTGTATAGGACTTGTTGTATTATAGGACTTGTTGTATTATAGGAATTGTTGTATTATAGGACTTGTATTATAGGACTTGTTGTATTACAGGACTTGTGGTATTATAGGACTTGTTGTATTATAGGACTTGTTGTATTATAGGACTTGTATTATAGGACTTGTTGTATTATAGGACTTGTATTATAGGACTTGTTGTATTATAGGACTTGTATAGAACGTTGTATTATAGGACTTGTTGTATTATAGGACTTGTTGTATTATAGGACTTGTTGTATTAAAGGACTTGTTGTATTATATGACTTGTTGTATTATAGGACTTGTATAGATTGCAACAACTTGGGGAGACCTTCATCCATTCGTGGACTGATTTTGGCTGATGATGATGATTCAATGTGCTCGAGGCAAAGCGTTTAATACATTTAAAATCAAACAGGTGCCACTCAAGGAGAGCGACCTCCCCCAGGTGTCAGGCTCAGACAGTGGGCCTCTTCACTACCTGGGAAATATTCACCAACTGAACCCGGGAGCCGTGCCCAAACAACCGGACTATTTCACGGCACCCTTCCGGCGTTCGCAGCAGGACATCTATCCTATAAAGGATCATGACGTCCTCATCCCACCGGCCGTACGCAGCCAAATCGTACGTTTGTATCAAGAATGCTGTATCAATAATGCCAGAATGTTTTTTTTTAGCAATAACATATGTGAATTTAATAGGGTTTTGTCGTGTTTTTTTATCATTTTTATTCAAGTTTATAGCTCTGTATCGCAACTTGTGATCTCTGAGTGACATGTGATTAGAAGTGTAAATCATTATGGTTTATTAAGAATGCCTGGATTTACGGTTTAGGGGTTGTGTTAATGTGTCCCTGTAGAAAAAGCTACCAAATTTCTGGTATGCTTAACCAGGAGACATGGTGAGCTAGCAGCCCCTCCCTTTGTAAGTCCTGCCCACATTATATAACCACGCCCCCTCAATCACTCTCCCCTGCACAACAAAAGAATGACAGACTACTGGTGATATGGTTCCTGGATCCTGGTGAGCAGGTATCCTGTCGAGCCAATATTGTGCTCATTTCGGGTTTTGATAGTATTGTATTCTGAATAAATTGCCTTTATGAATGGGAAGCATGGAGAAAATGTCTCCTTGAAATCTGGACATTGTACTTGCTGAAATCGGTACATATCTACTTCAGTTTTTGGGGCGTTCTGGGACGCTTCCGAGTAGGGACTCAATAAGAGTCATGGGCCCATTATAACTGTGTAGGCTGGTGGTGGTTGGAGAGGGGGAAACATTTCACAGTGGAGTGAGTAAATAATAGCTCACCTAGCCCTATGTGTCATGTTTGTGATGTTTGTCATGTGTCATGTGTGCTCACACAGGTCCACTACATGCTGCAAAACCCCATGCCACAAGACAGCACGAACATATTAAATATCAACCAAATGATTGAAAATGGCTGCTATACGGCAGCCTATCCACTGCATGACGTAAGTTGTTGGGGGGGGGAGGGGGTGGAGGGCACACTGACACCCTACGGGAGGCCCATGTACGACACCTGAATTGCACACCTGTTTAGGACGCTTCAGCATAGTCTAAAGCAGTGGTTCTTAACCTGGGTTCGATCGAACCCCAGGGGTTCGGTGAGTCGATCTCAGGGGTTCGGCAGAGCCCCCGCCACGGAGGTCCGGACACACTTGAATTATTGTGTAAATTTGTGATGACACACACGGCCCGCTTGGCCATCACTGGCTGCAGATGATCATGCTACACTGCTTGGCCAATCAGCGCTGCGGGGAATTTAGTGCGTACCCAGTAGTCAACGTGTGACTGTTGTTGTCGTACGTCGTGTGATTTCTTTAATATTTTATCCATACTAACTATGTCGGGCAAAAGAAGAAAGTGGTCGGACGAATATGTACAACATGGATTCTCATGTATCACGGAACGTGATGGGAGTGAGCGTCCTATCTGCATGATTTGCAACGCCAAGTTGAGCAACTCTAGTCTTGCACCGGCAAAACTAAAGGAACACTTCTTGAAGCTGCATGGAGACGGGGAATACAAGAACACAACACTTGCTGAATTCAGGGTGAAGAGAGCCAGATTCGATGAAAGGGCCACTCTGCCTGCTCTTGGATTTGTACCTGTTAACAAACCGATCCTGACAGCATCGTACAAAGTTGCTTACCTGATCGCAAAGCAGGGCAAGCCACACACCATTGGTGAAACACTTGTGAAACCAGCTGCATTAAAGATGGCGAATCTGATACTCGGAACAGCGGCCGAAGGTAAATTATCCCAAATTCCTCTTTCAAATGACACCGTCAGTGACAGAATAGAAGACATGAGTAAAGACATCTTGGCTCAAGTAGTCGCGGATCTGATTTCAAGCCCGGCAAAATTCAGCCTTCAACTCGACGAAACCACAGACGTTTCTGATCTAAGCCAGCTTGCTGTTTTTGTACGCTATGTGAAAGACGACATGATAAAAGAAGAGTTTTTATTTTGTAAGCCTCTTACAACAACAACGAAGGCAGCCGATGTGAAGAAGCTTGTGGATGACTTCTTCAGAGACAACAATCTTTCATGGGATATGGTTTCTGCAGTTTGTACGGACGGAGCTCCAGTCATGCTGGGAAGAAAGTCTGGTTTTGGTGCGCTAGTAAAGGCCGATGCACCACACATCATTGTGACGCATTGTATTCTGCACAGGCATGCGTTGGCAACAAAAACCTTACCTCCAAAAATGACAGAAGTATTAAAAACTGTGGTGGAATGTGTGAACTATGTGCGAAAAAGTGCTCTGAGGCACCGCATCTTCAGTGAGCTGTGTAAAGAAATGGGCTCTGAATTTGAGGTACTTCTGCTCCATTCTAATATTCGGTGGTTATCCCGGGGACAGGTGCTGAATCGTGTTTTTGCCATGCGTGTGGAATTAGCCCTGTTTTTGCAAGAGCACCAACACTGCCATGCAGATTGCTTCAAAAATCCTGAGTTCATTCTCATTTTAGCGTACATGGCTGATATATTCGCAGCTCTCAATCATCTCAATCAGCAGATGCAGGGTGGTGGAGTCAATATCATGGAAGCGGAAGAACACCTGAAGGCTTTTCAAAAAAAGCTACCGTTATGGAAACGACGAACAGAGAACAATAACTTCGCAAACTTCCCGCTTCTGGACGACTGTGCAAGTAAGATCGAAGATGTGTCTGGAATCGGAGATATTTCTGTATCCACGGAACTGAAGCAAACAATTGCCACGCACTTAGATGAGCTTGCAAAGTCTCTCGACGGATATTTCCCTACAAGAGAGTCATATCCAGCATGGGTGAGACAGCCGTTCACGTTTGCTGTTGAAACAGCAGATGTCAATGATGAATTCCTCGACGAAATCATTGAAATTCAGCAGAGCCAGGTTCAACAGCAACTCTTCAGAACAACAACGCTCTCAACGTTTTGGTGTCGACAAATGAACAAGTATCCAGTTATTGCTAAGAAAGCCCTGGATTTTTTTATACCATTTGTTACAACATATCTTTGTGAGCAATCCTTTTCGAGGATGCTGGACATAAAAACGAAGAAAAGGAACAGACTTTGCTGTGAAAATGACATGAGAGTGGCACTTGCCAAGGTGAAGCCACGCATATCTGAACTGATCTCTCAAAGGCAACAGCAGAAGTCACATTGATTTCCAGGTATGTAATTTGTTGTGAGTTTATGCATTGTGTTGGTTTTATTCTTTGAACAAGGTAATGTTCATGCACGGCTCATTTTGTGTACCAGTAAAAAACATATCTAAGTCTTGAATTTGAAAAAAATCACATTTTATTTTTCACTAAAGAGGGGTTCGGTGAATGCGCATATGAAACTGGTGGGGTTCGGTACCTCCAACAAGGTTAAGAACCACTGGTCTAAAGCTTACCACATACTTAACATTAGTGTCCCACAGAGATGCGCCGTATAGGTGTCCAAGTTCCCCAGCTCACTAAACACACGTCTGATTTGCATGGTTGCCTACATACGGTGCAAAAGAAGTTCAATATCCATGCATTGGAAAGGACTCCACGAGCACTCTAGAGAGCCATTCTCAAGGGTATTTGGCCGACTATTTCACTTGGGACAGAAGTCTTTGGAAGAATTAGAAGTACCCACACTTCATCCCACAACACGTGACCAACCAATAGACTAACTGTGGGTGCACCCATTTACACTGCTTGCTGGGCAGAAGCAGCGTGATTAAGAAACGTGGTCATTGTTTTAACTGTCGTTCCCATGAAATCAAATGGGCGACCTCTAACTTTGCAAGTCCAGTGCAGTGTGCAACACCATTACACCACAGCAGCGCCACGGCAGAGTTTTGGGGGGGGTGGAGCTGGTAATTTGTGAATGTCCATGCAGTGTTTGTGACTAACAATTGCTTTCCCCATGTCAGAGTGAGTCTGTTCATCCCACCAAAAACCCGAACACGCTGGGCGACCGCAACACGCTGCGACGGGAGTGGGCGAGAGCCGGGCGCTCTTTCAAGGAGCAGCCTCTTGACCTTGTGCGGTAAGTTCATGCCCTATCCACTGCTGGATGAAGACTTCTCCAAGCATTCACCATCTCTCCCAGTCTCCTGATGCAACGATCCATGTGGCTCCTGCACACATGCTGATTTTATTACTTAAATCTCTGTGGTGCACATCCTCTCAGACGCATTCCTTCTCTTGACTGCCACATCATTCTTAGTCTCGACCACAGGCCATCGTACCTCTTAGGGACGTGCCCTGTCCAGGAAGGTCCTAAGGCTGGACTTGAATGCTAGCTGGGAGTTGATAGCACAGACGGTTGGGAAAATGGAGTTCCAGAATAGCATTTGCCCATGCCTTCCCTGCTCTTCACATTTCCCTCCAGTCCATGGTCCTTGCTTACATATTCGATAGCTACACCACTGGTGCCATGTGTGGTTGGTGATGTTTGCGCTGTGTGTGCGAGTGATGTTGTCGGCACAGGTCATACTTCGGGTGGCAAGTGGGGCTCTATTTTGCATGGCTCGGCTTCTACACAAAGATGCTGATCTTCGCTGCAATCGTCGGCCTGATCTCCTTTTTCTTTGGAGTATTCAGCAAGGACCGTGACATCACTAGGTACTGGCCCGACACATGCATACAGACAAATGCATACAAACACACACACATACACTCATGTGTCAGATGTAGAAATCACACAGATCTCCTGTATGGCAATACAGACTGAACAATGAGTATCAGCAAGCACCTACTAAGGCTATACACAAGTACATATACACGTAAAGTACATATAGACATACATATACACTTATATACAATCCCATGGGATGCTGCCATGGTGTAATAGTTATATTTCTAGAATTGCAGTTTATAGATTTCCAGTGCGATCGCCTGGCATGGCAGCTGAAATAATGGCTAGGTTTCTTCAATTATCCCACATATGCTCAGCAGTATAAACGGAGACACCGCAGTTAGATGATTGGCAGTTCAGATGTGATGGGGTTAAATGTGGGTACTCCCACTGTGTCCAAGACGTCTGGCCATCATGGACGAGTAGGCCAAATATCATCTCGAGGGGCAATCTAGAGCATTCTTTAGTGGAGGACCTTCCACCAGCAGTGGCATGAGCAAGCAATTTCAGGGCCACATCTTTAACATTTAACTATTAAAGTACATATGCACATATATACAATCTCATACAGTTTATATACATATACAGTACAAATATAGTACATTCAATATATTGTATATGTATATATGTTCCAAATGTCTCTGTTTCTAAAAGTAAATCCAAAAAATCAAGCCTAGCTACAATATTTCGGACAATCCAGGGAAAATTAAACATTGTTTTGGATTGCTCAGAAAACATGACATCGCCCATTGTGACGTCACTCACGACGACACGTATCACGTGGCATCGGGTTTCGTCACTCTTGTTCACATGAATATATTGTACATTCTTACAAATTGTAAATAATCCGAAAATCAAAAGCAAAAAATATTCAAATCCAAAATGTTTAAATGTGAAACGTATCCTTATAATACTACTTACACACATAGACTCTGCGGGGCTGCATGATAGACAGCGGGGAGGAAGTGCAGGAAATACATTGCTGTACTCTATGTCTGGAGTCTTCGCTTCCCATATTCAAGCCGTACTGACCAGTGTGGGATGACTAGAATTAAATAGCCCTCATGACCCACAAGGTGTGGGGAGGCCCTCAGCCAGCAGTGGATTGATAAAAGGGCTGTAAACACCCCTGTAAATCAATACATAGAGATGTTACACCACCGATATGAACGAAAATTATAATTAAACATCAGGAAATACGTTTTACTTTGGAAAATGCTCGACGTTGGAACCCATAATTTAGTCTGACTTTGTTTAAAGGGAGGGTAAGACACATTCAAAAGCGGCATGACCTTTAGGCAAATTATATTTCTCATCCAAGTGTACTATGCCCATTAGTGTGTTTATGTTCGTGCGTGTCTATGTGTGCAGTGGAGAAATATGCAACAACACCATCGGAGGATCCCTGGTCATGTGTCCCCAGTGTGACCAAAAATGCACCTTTTGGAGGCTAAATGATACCTGCGAGACTGCGAAGGTATCACACAAATACACCATCGATATTCCCTCTAAATAAGGATACCTATTGGTTATTGGTGCTGTGCATCATTATCACAAAGCGAACTCACGTTGCTGAGATTGTATCATTAACATTAACCATGATCACTAGATTGCAGCATATCATGCTAAACACTACGCTGCCATTCGTGTGGGTGTTAAAAAAATATTATACTAATAATACACGTGTGACCATTTTGAAGGTAGTTATAGTTTTAGTAAATAGAGCATTTTAATGGACGAAGTCGATGATTTGACAAATACATGAAAATGAATGCATCGTCACATCCCAGCGGGAGTGCAAAAGTGACTTTGTCTGAGTAAATCCGACACGATGTATTTCATGAGTATTTCTCCACGATCAATACAAGTGGACAAAGTATTTTTTAAATCTGAATTTCAGTGCTAATTAGTTGACATGTCATGCCGAAATAATGATTATTCACTTTAAAGTGTCTGAAATGTATGTACACAATCATGGAATTGCCCATTGCTTATTTTGCTCTTTCTGTCACATTTATACAGATTTGTTTGATACATGAATATCGCTATAATATCAGACATTGTAGAGCATTGTCATCTCCACAATTTAATGGATGTTTCATGAGTGATTAATCTATTTTAACTTAAAAATCAATCGATGCATCGTTACTTTCCTGCTGTTGATATTGAAAATACGTGGATGCTAAGATTTAAGGTTTAATTGTGACTAACACCTCTGATTGTGCCGTTGCAGACTTCACACATGTATGAAAATCCGGTCACCATATTCTTCGCAGTTTTCATGGGACTTTGGGGTAAGTGATTCTAAGCATTGGCACACATTGTCCAGACACAGTGACAAGTATCAACATGTTTGCAATGATGATGAGCACATTTGGCCACATACAGTGTTAAAGAAGTTCAACATACATACGTACAACCATATACAGTACGAGCATGTCTTGCAATGTTCGTATGCAGTGATCCTGACAGTCCTATTATGAACCCACTGCTCAATGAGGGCACATTTGGACCATGACTTGTACACATTGTCCTACTCTTACGAATGATAACCGATAATCTTTAATGTCCACTGTGAAGCAGATGGTGTGTATTTTTGTGTAATTAATACACCGGCAATATTAATCAGGGCAGCCACATAATTTGAACCACGAACCTCTGCAACAAGCAACGAATGCGCTACCCCAAGGCGATTCCATGAAAAATACAAAGTGGCCAGGTGGCTCAGAGTTCAGAGTGCTGCGTTGCCGCCGCTGAGATTCTGTGTTGAAATGAAAGTGGCCACCTGCGATTAAACAAGTTTTTCAATTATAGCGAGATGATGGTCTCAACTCAATCACCGATATCTGCACAACAAATACAAAAAATACATAATGTTGAAGTTGCTTCTGTACTTAATTTGGCTACATTCCAGCTCTGAGAATAAAAATGTTAGCTTGACTATCACGTAACAAACGCTCCTCTCCGTGGCAAAGCAGTTGGGAAAGAGCTACCCCTACTATGTGGATCAGAGATCACAGAGGTAGCTCTGTGACATTCGCTTTTGTGTAACGTTTTGTAACACGAAGAGCAGCACTGCTCTGTTATAGATCCAAAAGAAATCTCAATCTCATGCCATGCCACTCATGGTGCAAGTGGGATAAAATTGTGGCAATGTACCAAAAAAAGCCAATAAAGGTATTTATGAAAGAAGAAAAAAATACTAATGAAGTTACTTTGAACATTACATTTAACAGACTACATTAGGTAACTTTTGAACCCTTGAGCAATCGATAGTCAAATTACTTTTCAAAGTAAATCCTCCCCGTGTGGTGTGTCGCAACAGCCACGGTGTTCCTGGAATTTTGGAAGCGTCGCCAGGCATCGCTCGCGTACCGCTGGGACCTGACGGCAGCGGCGCAGGAGGGAGACCCCATCCGGCCCGAGTACCTGGCTCGCTGCACGACCACGAAATGTAACATCATCACCATGGTAATGCTTTCTGCCGTCACCACGGCGACTACCTCATTGCACACACACACCTCTATTTTGTAATGTTGCATGTGTAACTGTTCACTGTTTTCCTAGTTTTTCTTCTAACATATTTGTTGGCCTTTGCTCAATTTTGTTTTCCTTCCAATATTATCCCGATTGTACTATCGGAATCGTTATGAAACAATGTCCATTTGGAACTCTATGTTATGGAAAGGTTTGCTCAAGCAGATGTTACATAATTACTTCTAAGATCCCTTCAAGTGAACACACACTAGAGGGTGGCCCTTTCCCATCAGCCCTGCTACAAAGAAATGTTCATGATGGTCAAACTAATCTTTTTTTATTCTGAAAGGTGAAATTTGGCCAAATTAAGAAAAGAAACAAATGTAATATTGGTGACCAGGCTGATCGGCTTACTACTTGGTTTAATTGGAGGCAGCTGCCTGGATTCAAGCCAATGAATCTCAGCGCTGCCAGCTCAACTCTCAGACATCAGGACCATCAAATCCATTCCTTTATATCATCGCATGCTTAACTAGTAGTGGGGAAAACAAATAATGGTTCATCAGTCAACCTTAACGGCTCACACTAACATTGGTCACTCCTACAGACTAATCTATATACAAATGCTTTTCCGTCTATGTCCGTGCATTGTGAGTGCAGGAGGAGGAGCCTCATATGCCTAAGAGGATACTGAGGTTCCGTTACTGCCTCTCTGGGATCATGGTGTTGTTCTGGGTGAGTCCGCCAACTCAACAGCAACATTGAACCCCTTCTCCTGATCCAGTGAGCTATGGCCAAGTCACCTGCTATGTGCCTCATCTTGGAGGCGAAGCAGGTTTTGAGCCTGGGTACTGCACGAATCGGTAACCATCATGCACAAAATGGACTGTAGGCTGCTGCAGAGCTACCCTGTGGCCAACAGAGAACTGCATTCTCATGCTTCCATCCTTTACCAACCTGTACTGGTGTGCATGGTGAAGTATGGGAAAATAACCCTGACAACCTGCACAGGTTTGGGGAGGCCATCATCCAGCAGTGGATTCATATACGGGTTATACATATATATTTTTACTTGACCCAATCCCAACCTCCACACGCTGCTCCCCCAGTCAGAATCGCTCTCAAACTATGTTGTTCCTCCTGTGTGATCCATTGAGTGATTACAAGTGGGGGTATAGATACATGCATAATCATATAACTTACAGCCCTTTGTCAATCCAATCACCTGAAATATCTACTGCTGCCCCAAGGCAATGAATACCTCATGAGCCATATCATGTTATCCACCTGCTCCTGTCAACCTCGATTTGGGTTTCTCGAGACCAGTACTCGGCCTTAAGGCCAGATGAAAAACATGTCCTCAGCTCCTTGGCCTTGAGTGTGTGGCCTCAGTCCGAGGAGGTTTCTTAGAGGTACCAACCTTGACACTGGCCTCATACTAGCGCACCCAACCTTGAGTGACCTTGACACTGATTGTGGCCTAAAAAGCTGCCGCCTTGGCCTCACCTTGGCCTTGTAGCTTTTGGTCTCAACTTCACATCTGAACCTGGCTCGAGGTCTAGCAGGGCCAGGGATAGTAATTCCTTTCATAACATTGCATCATTTTCTACATTTGACCAAATGACGTTACCATTACACGTTCATTGTGTGTGATGTTAGCGAAACAGCTCAGGTTCTGTTTAACATGTAAGCTTTTCGCGACCAATATCATCCATAATATTTTTTTGGGGTTAGATCGCGTAAATATATGCCATGAAACCCACCACCACCCGACACAGCCAATTAGTAAAGTTGTTCACGTAAACAGAACATGCCAATTCGTTACTAGTACAGCAAATCCACAATATCTACAATCTGAGTACGACGTTTTGCCAGTCATTTGGTTCTGCAGTAGACAAACGAACTGGCACCTCCTGATTCACACCAGGCTAGCTTGGCACAGCTAACTCACGGCTTGGTTATACAGTGGAAAAGAGCTACAAGACTGTAAATCTCACCCACCTCTGTGTTTCTTGTGTTACTGGCAGATCCTCCTGATTCTTGCTGCAATTTTGGGTGTGGTTGTTTACCGCCTGTCCATCTTTGGCATACTCTCCTCGAGTATCCCCAATCATGTGACCAAGATCAAGGTGATCGGTGCCCTACTCACACCTGATATGGTTACCACCATCACGGCCTCCATCCTCAACATCGTAATCATATTACTACTCAACAAAGGTTACGACAAGCTGGCCCTCGTCCTCACTGATCTGGGTAGGTGTCATCACCATCACGGTTTGCATATGTTTATTTTATTATACGCCACCAGAGAACACATGTAAATTTGAAGCTTGGATAAATGTTGTGCATGGTAAATATTGTCGCTGTAAAATGTCATCATGATTTTAACCTTGCACCATGAGGCCATGAATAGCAGCATCAGTGCATCATCCAATCACTTGTTCAACTACTGCCTGTTTTTGTCAAAACTCTGTAAAATTTTTCCTCCAGTTTCATTCCGATTGGGCTATCAGAATCGTGTCTTGAGATTAAGTATCCAATGGGATCTCTTGTAGACCAGTGCAACCCTTAATGTCATGAAATGGCCCTAGAAGTGAGCTACCTCTGAGACCCTTCATTCAAGTGAACTCTGGTTCACACATTAGAGGGAAGCACTTTTCAATCCACACTGCTACGGAATATAATATTAATCTCGTAACAGTCAAATTGCTCATTCTCACAACTAAAATTTCACCAAATTAAGTGATGAACCAAATGGTGTATGTTACAGATGTAATGCCATCATTAGTAATCGTCCTGAAGCCATTAATTCACTGCACTTGAGAACACATGTTACCAGAGGCCGCTGCCTGGATTTAAACCCAGGATCTCAATGGTGCCAACTTAGCGCTCTGATTTCACCTCTCGATCCATTGAATCACTGAATGTAATTGTGGGCTGACCCTCACTGCTGCATTTCTACCTTCTAGCCAGCTGTCAGCTATCTGCTTGTGTTGCTCATGTTGCCCGCTATTGAGACCTTTATTAGTAATTTATCCTGCTGAAGCCTGCACCCCCTCTGAAAGGTGACCCATGATAATTACTAAGATACACCTTAAATATTTTCTTTGGTTCTTTCGGTAAAGTCACGTAGAATGAGAATAAAATAATAAATTGATAAAATAAAATAACACAATAATATTCTCACGACGTTTTGGCCACAACATAAGCGGCCTTCATCATGTGAAGAGACGAGACTGTCTAGAGGACAGCGCTGGAGTGCTAGAAGATGAATCCTTGCAGTCACGAAAGCTTTAAATCGAAATTTAATACACCTTAAAGATATTTGAAAATCAAGTGCACTGGCTTTCAGACATCATACGGACAGTGTAAATGGCTTAATTGCAAATGGAGACTGAATGACACTCCACAGGGTGAATGTGGTGAACAACACCTGGTAAACAACTTGTCCACTGTCACTCATTCCCCAGCAACATCTTTGAAATTCACTTTTGATCTTCAAATTCATTTTAATGGATATCAAAGCACGTCACATTGTGAAATGTTGCTATTCCTCAATGCGGCATCATTATCAGTGGCTTTTCGTAGCCTGTGTGCCAGAAACTATGTAAGTAACATCAAAACTGATTGCCCTGTTTGATGTTTGTGTCCATGTGTGCCTTTGTATCACACCCACAGAGATGCCCAAGACGCAAGGCGAATTTGAGTATCGGCTGACGTTCAAGAAATTCTTATTTCAGTTCGTCAACTTCTACTCGGCGTCTTTCTACATTGCATTTTTCAAAGGGAAATTTATCGGCTTCCCCGGAAGCTACACTTACTTTGGAAAATGGAGAATCGAGGAGGTGTGTAGATCTGAGGGGTTGGCCCTGTCTTTTCTATGTTGTTTGTACAACATTTTCATGTTTTTCTTTTGTAGTTGATATTTTTCCCAACAATTGTCTTCACACCGTGCTGTTAATGAAATGTCGAAATAAGGACTCTTTCTTTTGGAACTCTAAAAGGCCTCATTGTCTTCACACCTGGTCACCAGCTCTAGCATTAACACAGTCTCCGGAGTAAAAAAGTTTTCGAAACCAGACTTGAGAGAGCACGAGGTCACCACGAGCAGAACACGTGTTAGACTGATGCAATTGGTAACCCAGTTACCTTGAGGGTGTTAGTTTATCACATACTTTGCAAGTAGTACCCTTGTGGTCTCTCATTGGACATTTTCAATTATATACCGTATTTATCAAACGCCATTTATTTAAAATTATATATTTGATCATCCTTAAAAATGTACAGTATTTCAGCCCCCCTCAAGGATATGTTTAGCCACTACCTATGACTCACTGTGGCGCAGTGGAGCACGTTGTGTTAGAGAACGGCCCCATAACATGATATCAATAACGAATTCTGGAGTAAGGAATTAAGCAGCATTGCGTTGTGCACACGTTAAATCAATGTCATTAAGACAGTGTTAATGACACGTAGTTTAACATTTACATAATTGCCATTCAGAGTCACCCTGAGTATTTGCAGTCACTCTATGCTCGGAAGAAAGTCCATTGCCCAAAATGTGCACCTGTTGCTCATGTTTCTCTTTGAAGGCAGACTTATTGACACATGAGATGATTATGAATATATTTGGTGTTATATTAAGGTGCCTACTTCTCCTGCTGCAGATTTGCAGAAAATCGTCACGAGGGCGATTCATTGATTGATATCCTCTCAAAAACAATGCAGATAAAGGATAAAGAATACAGCTTATTATTTAAGTGCCTCTGTGTTTTCTACCAACTTAATTTCATGTTTTACGATTATTATATTTACTAGACGATGCTCTGGAATTAAACTCACCTGATACTAAACACCAACTGCAGTATGCATGTTGTGTGTTGAACTTATTTTGCACTGTACACAGCCTGCATCGGATGTGTGGGGGAAGGACAACAAACAAAACATTATCAGATGCGCCACCATTTTCTTTATTTAAAATACATGAGGGAGAGGGGGAAAGTGTTTCTTATAATCTGGAGAATATTGATATTCTTAATCACTGTCCCCTCTAACATATGGAGCCGTCACTTTTGCAGTGTGCAATTGACTGAAAAGAAGAATGTGAGAGGATCATTAGAAATGATGTGTGGTATCCATATATGTATTACCCAATATTTCATATCTTCAGTGTTTAACCTGAATCTATTCTCCACCCCATCCCCCCTCCAGTGTCCCCCAAACGGCTGTCTCTTTGAACTGACTTCTCAACTCACTGTCATCATGGTAGTGAAGCAGATGGTTGGCAATTTTCAGGAGGTCATCATCCCGTAAGTATCGCATGAACACATGAAAGCTGTGAAGTCTGATTACGGCATTTCCTCGTGTAACGCGGTAGATGCGTTTCTGAAAATTTCCGCGTGAAGTAAAAAGGTGCAAAGTAAGGAATTACTGAGTTAATCACATTTGCACAGTAAAATCAACCTGCAGTCATCCCATGGTGGGATAAATAACTCAGGCTAGGCTGCCGTGTTACTGTATCATTCGGCATACTTTATCAAACTGCTCAGCCGCGCAACTCAAGACAGTCGTTCATCGTCGACTGCTCAGGAACGCATTATAATGGCCGCGTTCGGCGTTTTAACAGTGTGCATTCCACATTATAATGGACACGTTCCACGTTGTGTGAAAAGTTTTCCCAAATATAAGAACCATGTTTCAATGAAAATGTGTTGTGTGAAAACGCATTCAGCGAAAACTCGGGTCGACAGCTTGTTAGCAGTGTGCACTGGTTAAGCAGTGAACACCAGTCAACTGGACAAAGTTCACCTCGTTAGTATCATGCGATATTCCGATCAGACGCTTCGTACATAGTTTCATAATATTAGACAAGCAACTCCCATGACTGAGAGAGTGTAGTGGATTGACAACGAGCTAAATGAAAAACAGCTACTACTTAGGTTTTAGCAGTTGTTTTGGTACAGCTCTCTGACATGTTTTGTGTCATACCGCATATTGTTTGGCATGTCTTGACGTTTCGCTCCACGTGCTTGGGATGTTCACATGATACAACCTGAAAACACAGTGGAAAGCTATGAAATAGCCAACCTAGAGTTGATGAACAAATGGATATACACGTGTAAGGGTGTCTCTGTGTCTGCACATGCGTACCTCCCTCCACAATTCCCCAGATGGTTCAGCAATTGGTGGGCCCAGCGTCGGGCCAAGCTAAGGCCTGAGGCTGTCTACACGCGCTGGGAGCAAGACATGGACCTACAGCCCCAGAGCCCACTTGGACTCTTTGATGAATACCTCGAGATGGGTACAATGAGCTCAGAGGATCACACTACGGAGTCAACGCGTTTTACTTTATTATTAAAAAAAACACACGATTGGGTAGCATTTGACTATATAGGCACGTGTGTATGGCCCCTGTGTATCTGTCGGACATTGTTGTGGGAGGGAAATTACCCACACTTCGGGTTGTTGAAGGCAGGGAGCACAGATGTAAGAGCTTAGATGTACAATACAACAATGTAATTTGCTGCACTGTCCTCTGCTGCTCACAACCCCACAACAACTGTTGCATGGTCACCCATCCAACCAATTTCCAGGCTCAGCTCTCCTTAGCTTCTGGGATCTGATTAAATCTGACGCATACTGGGTGATTTGGCCATAGGCACCAATCTATGGATATACTGTAACGCAATTGTCTTTGAGAATGCGCGTATGTGCATATGTACGGAGTTCAGTTTTAGAAACAATAGAAGCACATATTTGCTCCTCTTGTCTGCTAACCAATGCAACTACATTGGTCAGCTTGGGTTGACGTTTCTCCCCCATACTATTTATTTAAAACTCTTGTGCATCATGTCCACTGTGGTTAACTGCTGTGATTTGTTGGCATTTCAGCCACAGTGCATATGCATAAAAATGTGTGGTACGGTTAATGGAGTCCTCAATACAGGATGTGATCTAGTTATTATAGCCACCTAGTGGTGGAAAATGGTGCAAAAGAAACCCAGGTGAACCAGAGCTGAGCATTAAAGATGGTAGTGGCTGGTCGCATCTCAGTGGCCAATGTAATGGACACGATAATTTTGTGAACAAATGATACGAAAATGTGATCATATTTTGGGGTCTCCTTTGACTAAAACACATTCAATGCATTGAAAACATGTTTTGTTTGCTTAAAGTAATCACAACATAACAGCATTAAGAGTGTGTGTCTATATCCTGTTTCACTCATTATCCTATCCTTGCCCCCCTACCCATTCTCAAAATATACCCCAGTTATCCAATTCGGGTTTGTCACTCTCTTTGTGGCATCATTTCCACTTGCGCCATTGCTCGCACTGCTCAACAACATCATCGAAGTGCGGGTCGACGCGTGGAAGCTCGTAACAAAGATGAGGAGGCCTGTGGTTTCGCGAGCAAGAGGAATTGGAGCCTGGGCCGACATTCTGAGTATTGTTGCCACCCTCTCTGTAATCACAAATGTAAGTCACCAGATTGTCCGCTCGCTTTCTCGCTCAGTATCCCATCTTATGAGAGACATAACATGTCATGTTAGCCGTGTGGGTTCTTTTTAGCATACTTCACCATTCTGGTCATGGCAGGTTTGAGAAGAGGTGTAGTGGGGGACCAGGAGCGGTTCGGGTATCACTCGTCACTGATGTTAGTCGTAGCTGGAAGTCAATTGCATGTGTGCTGAATTCAAAGTGCAGTGCACGAATCACTGCACCACCGCTCCTATCCACTCTCTCCCAAAATCGCAAAAGGTAAAGCCTTGCAATTGCTTGCTCATGTCACTGCTGGCAGAAGGGCCTCAACTAAAGGTAGCTCTAGAGAACCCCTCTACACGGTATTTGGCCTACTCTTCCATGATTACCAGACATGTTGTAAGATGTGGAATTACCTGCGCTAAAACAGTGATGAACCCATTTATATTGCTAATTGGACAGAGGTGGGGGAGATTTAAGAAAATTATCCATTGCTTCAACTGTTGTGTCAGGAGACTGAACTGACGACTGCCAGATTGCAAGTCTTTATATGGTAACCATTACACTCTGGCAGCAACCCCCCAAATTGTATTTGTGAAAATTAATGTAATTGCCAAGGTGAGATGTTCAGAAGCCTTGGTCAAATTATTGCATGCTAAGTGACCGCTATTGCTGTGCCTCCGTATGCTAATTCCACGGTCATGCATCTTGGCGTTCACAACGGACATCATCCCACGCCTGGTGTATTATTATGGATACTCAGCAGAGTATGGCACAGGTTCGCCTACAATGCATGGGTACACGGAGGACAGCCTTTCAATTTTCAAGATCAGCGACTTCAAGGAGCAAAATCATCCCAACATCCTGCCAGCCTGGTTTGATCCGGCAATCCACACAACCTGCAGGTTTGTGCCATTCAGTGTCATGCCCAGCTATCGGGGGTGCCGTCCCTGCGAATGTGATGCACTGATCTCTGGGTGTGTTGTCCAGGTAGATGCGACATACTTCTGGGTGTGGCGTCCTCCTGGCTCCGCCCCTTCCTGATTAGGCTCGTTTTCTTCCTCTTTTCACTCCGTGACTTTCCTTTTAAGACCCACACTTCCCCTAGGCCCCACCTCTGTTTAGGCCCTGCCCCTTACCCTGGACACAGGGTTTGGCTTAGTTGGGTAGTAAGGGGTTGTGGTAGGGTTGGGGGAGGAGTGTGCATGGTGGGTGGGGACAGTAAAGGGGGTGGGGGGGGGGAATTGGAGGGGGGGAGCAGTGGGTACGGGTGGGATGGCTTCACAACCAAAGTCCCACTTAGAGAAATATAATAATAGATTGATATAAATTCTAGCTCATTGTTACCTTGCTAAAGAGTAATGTTATTTATTTATCTATCGATCCACGACTGCTTAATTGAGTCTCAAGATCCCTTTGCAGGAAGACCGTGCATTGGGATTCCAGTTTAAGGTGGTCTTATGCATGTGGGATGCAATAAGAGGTCCTGGAGAACCCATGATAATGAAATGAAGCTTAAAGGTCCACACAGACATGAAACCACTTGCTCTACAGCCATCTTCTGGTCACCTCAGCACAGTTAGTTAAGAAATTGATGCGATCTACCAACCCTTTTCTGTAACGTTTTTGAATTGCTGGCATACACAACTATAATCAATATAACCATATTGATCGATATTTAATATAACCTTACTTGACTATGACCAAATCACCACGAATACAGCTGATCTTAGATTCTGGACGTCAAGCAGGCTTGAGCCTTGTCCGTGCTTAGATTGATGATCACCATACACAATGCAGGTGCAGTAGGCAACTGTGGAGCTAGGTTGTCAGCAGTGGGTAGTTCAGAAAAATTAACAGTTGTGCTATATTGTTCTCCCATTATCTGTACTCCCTGCCTTCACCAACCTGGCATGGACCAGCGTGAACCATAGTCAAAAGAGCCCCCACAAACTGAACGTTGTGGGAAGGCCCTATTTCAGAAGCGGATTTTTTAAAGGGCTGTGAACGCATATACCGTTTGTGCACAACCATACTTGTTCAATTTAGCGCCAACTCTACTTTCGAGGCACTTTGCTCAATATAGTCCATGCGTGCTTGTGGTTGTACGTGTGTAGGTATCCAGGTTATCGCTACCCGCCGGATCATCCCCAAGCCTACTCCGTCACCAAGCAGTACTGGCAAGTACTGACGGCAAAGCTGGCCTTCGTCATTGCCATGCAGGTACACATCAACATGCACACACACACACATTCATAAACCCATAGAAAGATTAAGGTACAGCCCTCCGATTACTTGCTCATGTCACTGATGGCAAAAAGGGCTCCTGCTATAGGGAGCTCAAGAGAGACCCTTAAGATGTATTTTTACTGCTCTTCCACACTGGTCAGGCGTTTTGGGAAGATGTGGGAGTTCCCACACTGGACAGAACCAAACTCAGCCGACCAATTGACTGGATGTATTCCATTTACACTGCTAGGTGGATAGAGGCAGTGGAATGTAAAACACTTTCACCATTGTTTACACTCCCACGACCAAAGATCAATTCACACCCGTGACCTCTGGATTGCAAGTCTAGTGTACAAAGTCTTACACTACTGCACCATCGTATAGACTCATCTGTGAGCAGTTGTTAAGGTCAGCAGAGCAAACCGTGATCATTGTCAATGGGTCATTTCAGATAATGCCAGTAATGCTATTATACCTCACAATTGCACAGTATTTCTGAGATCACAAATAATAGTGGTAATACAATACTCACTTTCATCATGCAGCAGACGATTCATGTTGTTGATGCAATTTGTCACACGTAAGCATGTGTGCGTGTGGAAAGCGGAGCGGCTGCGTTGTTGTTTGTGAACTGCGCTACCAATCCTGTGTGACCGGAGTACTATTTCTGGACACAGCCAACAACAGTGGAAAATATTAGAACCAGTGTTGAGCTTCCCTTAAGTTGATTCTGTCTTAAAATGAGTACTTGATGAAGTGTGTGAAAATCATCACTGGCGAGATAAAGGTGCACACCACCCCCACAGGCACTGTGCCACCCTTCATAGATGCACTTGTCTCAGTCTGTGAAAGGCTACACAGGGAATCTTTGCAGTGGTGACATGGCCGAGTGTAGGTTTTGCTGATTGTTGCGGTAATTTGCGGCTGCCCAGGTGAATACGGTGGGTGCATTAACTGCCCATCATAAATGTTGCCTGCTGCATAGTGAACGTAAAAAACCCATTAAGTAATTCAAAAAAAGTGCCTCGGTATAATTTGCCAAATGTTCAAAAATTACTCAAATGACTTAATTTAATTGGGAAAAACGACGTAACAATATAATATCCCTAGGCTGCAGGTCCCCGGAATAGTTGACCTGAGATGTAAAGCACTTTGAGATGCTGCCCTATTATATTTAGTAAGCACCCATTACATGCAAATCCTGAAACTGAAAATCCTTTACCTGTGTGTGGACGTGTGCAGCACGTGGTGTTACTCACGAAGGCCTGCATTGCATACATCATCCCGGACACGCCATCCCATGTGCGCGCCTGCATGCGCCGCGAGCGCTTCGTCGTACAGACGATTCTGCAGCAGGCAGAGCTGGGCCATCTCGGTAACACCCTCCTCACCGATGCCCCCAGCTCACCGCCATCGCCTCAATTCCACGTTGAGGATGAGCAGGCAGAGATGGGCCTGCTTCACTGCTCGCTGCATAAGCAGTCTCCTGGCGTATCGCACCCACCCCAGCGGTGCCACATGGAGAATGAGCAGGCAGAGAAGACTGGTGATGACTCACTGCTGAAGGGAACCGAGGAGGAATCAAGCAGCGAGGATTCGTCAACTGTCTTCTACAGTGTATAATTCTACTCTGACTTTTAAAGGAGGCTGCTATCCTAACTCTGTTTGCATATACAGATAGTCGAGGACTATCTGTATATATATTTATAAATAGTTTATGATTTAACATGTCTCAATCATCTCATGTCTTTTCATACGAATCACGATGTGAATGAGGAAAACTAGAAATTATTGTTATTTTGTATATATTTTTAATTTTGGTTTAACACGTAGGCTTTCGGGTCCAATATTATACATAGAGGTGTTTTTTTGGGTTAGATCGCGTACATATATAAACGTGTCGTTAAAACCCGCCACCACTCGACACAGCCAACTAGTAAGGGTTGTCACGGAAACAGAACAAGCCAATTCGTCACTGGTACTTTGGAGAGCCAAGCCACAACATTTACAATCGGAGTACGACGTTTTGCCAGTAATTACAACTGGCTTCATCAGGCGACAGCTAGATTTGTGACACTCTCACGCAAAGTGGGGGGGGGGGGGTGGGAGATTACCGAGTCAACGTACATTATGCATGTGCATTATGAGAGCCCTTTCATCTTGTCCTTCCTGTCTATTGTGTATTAAAATAGCCGTACCAATAGTAATCCCTATTGAAGTATGCTGCCCTTTATAGGCATGCATTTAAATAATGTATTTTTTTGTTGGCACCCGTGTTCAGCAGTAGCAGAGCACACGTGCCAACAAGGATACTCAGTTGATTTTAATGTTGAAGTTCTGTGCAAAACTAGCTACTACTGGCCAAAAATAAATCGAGAATCTATCGAAATTGAAAGAAAAATTTACAGTTCGGATAGCTACCGCCTTTGTGCTGTGTGGAAGCGACTCATCAAATAGTACATTAGATGAAACTCCGAGTACCCACTCAGGAGGTATAGTGGTAAAGCAGTGGAGGAAAAAAAAGCAAATTTTTAAATTTGCCCTTGTTGAATGATAGAGTCGATACACACAGCAAGCGAGATTAAGAAAGCGCATCGGAAGAAATACCGGAGGTGAGAGAGAGAAGACAATTGCCTGCTGGAGAAGGAAAGGCATTTCTACCGAGGGAGACAAGTTGACAAAGATTTTGATAATGGGAACCGGTGGCGTGACTCGATCTTCCCTATGTGTGTAACACGCTACCGAAGGAAAACAGAAAATCGTATTCAAAGGCTAAAATAAGCTCCATTTTTATATAAGAGCCCGATAAACAATAACCCCATCCATAGACTGAGGGAGAAAGGGAAGAGCTTGAACAAAGGGGAGGAGATTACGACGGAGATGGGTTGGAGGTGGAGAGAAGGGGAGAGGGGAGGTCGTAAAGGCGGCTGCACATTCAAGGAAAGCGGCGTAAAAAGAGTTTAACGGGGACATGGAGACAACAGACAAAGGTTGGAGAAAGAGGAAGAGAGGATCTTTCAGTGCTCCCTACAGGAAACCCACAAAACTGAATTTCCTAAACTCGTGTCGCCTCCGTGACAGCAGCACCACCAACGCCACAGACTCACGCTCCCCTAATCGATAATACCATCTCCATTGCCGACCAGGCACGAGATGGCTGCTCTCAACACCTCGGTCGTGGTGTATGCAGGAAAAGACTTCCGGCTGGTGAGCATCCGGCCATTGCGAGGGTTGGAAATAAACTGAAGCACGGGGCGACTCCCACAACCTTCGGGTATTTCCCAACTGGATGACGTCTTGGGATGAAGCCAGAAGTAAGCCAAATCCGCACTCAATAAATGGGACAAAGATCCCAGAGAAGCCTCCAGAAATGTCACAGGAGGCTCGGGTGTGAGAAACCAGACTCCATGTGGGGTCCTCCAGACCTTTGCCCTCCAGTTCATCAACATTTGTAAAAGCAGGACGTCTCAAAGGTACGTAGCATGGGTGAGGGACGATGTTGAGAACCACGTTCCAAGATTAGGCGCTTGGACAGGTTGAGGTCCGAGTAAACTTTTAATGGAGCTCACATTACGGATAGAAGGATAGTGTGCCGGCACAATCCGGACACCCTGCTACACCGAAACACTCTGCTGCATCAAACTCCCTGGTACAGCTAAACACTGGCACGATTGCGCTCAAATACACACAAACTCTCACTCGGCCAGTTGGTACACAGGTTGTCAGTTGTGGGGGACGCGGGCCCCCGGCTCCCCCCCCCCCCGGGGGAGGGCTGATCTCAGGAGGGCTGCGGGCTCCGGACTCCTCGCTCGAGTGAGAGCAGCCGCTACTCGACTCCTCGCTCGCGGTGAGAGGGCTGCCGCTCTCCGGCTCCTCTCCTCGCGCCGCAGCCCCTCGGGTCCACGGGTTCTGTTTGTGGGGCATAGCTCGGGGCTGGCACGTGGCTGCCTGGAATCAATCCGTCGCTTCTCAGCCACTCAAACGCGACGTCTCCGCTCACACAACCCCGCGCACCACTCACACGAACTGAACGGGGGGTCAGGGGTCAGAGGGCAATGACGTCCTTCGCACACGCGTTGCCGCCGATGCTGGGCAATGGAGATTGTTTAAAGGGCTGCGTGGCGGGGATTTGGAGTCGATTTTAGAGCGACACACCAATCGCACGCGCGGGACGGGGGGGTCGGGGGTCAGAGGGCAGGGACGTCACTCGTACACGCGTAGCCGATTGGGGGGCTGTATTGGAGATTATTTAAAGGGCTGTGGGGGCGGATATTCGGGATTGGTGTTAGCCCGCAGTCACGAAAGCTTTAAATCGAAATTTATGTTAAGTGTAATGTGTTGGTGTTAATAAATAGTGTTGCCTCCCAAGAAGTTGTGTGTGCCTATCTCAGCCCATTACATATAAGTGTAGATGTGATTATGTAATTCTTGTGTTCATAAAAGTGTAGTGACACAGCGCTGACTGCTGTCCAGCAGCGGCAACTGCAGTGGAAAGTTTGCGCACAAGCCGTTGAGCATATATACGGGTGTGCCGGCCGGGCAGAGGAATTGGGGCAAGGGTCATGGAAGACCGCATAGGGAAGCCTCTGGAACCCTCTGGTCGGTTCGAGAAGGGAGGCGTGGATAGGGCAGAGCCAAGCCGCGCCGAGTAGAATATAAGCAGTGGAGAGCGAGAGCTCCGGGCTGCCGGTTCTGGGAGTGGACTCGTCTCGTCGTCGTTGTCGTTGCCACCGCATTCGCCCAATCATTGCTTGGCCAGACAGTAGTTGGCCTACTCGGTCGATGCCGTCGGGGCAACGTGGACAGGGTCGTGTCTAGGCCGGGCTCTACGGAAACGTGGTCGAGAGAGTGAGGCCGGAGTTGGTGTAAACAAGATAATAAAGAGACGATGTCTCCCGCAACTACCTCGTCTCCGACAGTGTGTGCGACACACACCACACGTCGGAAGGAGAACACTTCACAAGTATAAATGCTGTCTGTGTCAGTCGAGTCACATTTGCTCTAATTTATTTTGATGGTGACCTAAGACAGGAGAAGCAAAATGCACTTCAGGAAGTGATATTTTTATAATGCAGAGGCTGTGCCTGATACACATCTTTCATATGTTGTTTGGCAACCCTGGTGCCCAGTAAACGACATATGGCTAGATCTTTGCATTGAATTCCAAGTATTAATTCCTCCATACTTGTGTACAGTTGAGTTTTTATTCCATTCCCTTCATGAACCATGTTTTTGAACTTTACATCATAGTAAGATAGTACATGCCGATGAATAATTAATAGATGCTTGAAAACATCTATCCCCCACCATCTGCCTGTGTTTGGCCTAATACTCAATCACCCAAAATGCCCAAATTCACCATACATACTCTAGGAATGTAAGCAGGTTAATGCTTGGAAATCCATCACAATCATCACCCCCAAATGTGAAGACATGTCACGAGACTCGCTGACTTTTCTTAAAATACTTGAGAAATACAAATCATAGCTGAATATTTTCAATTCCATGTGTATAAGCCTTTGTATATTTATTTTACAATAAATCTGAGACATGCACAATATAAAACATTCAAATATCAGAAAATATTTAATGTATGTTGAATTTCTTTCACACTGTACATAACCAACCATGCTAAACAAGACATGATAAAAACAATCCAAGTCATAGGTTGCATACAATATACAACTTTGGTTTATTGATTACAAATTACATAAAAGGTTCTGAAATTTTACAATACAGGTATAGTGCAATCTAAATAAGCAAATGCACTTTTACAGTGATTTCCCAAATGTTTATAACTACACAAATACTAGCATGTATGTTCCCAATAAAGTAGGCTCCTTCCAAAATGGCTAAAACCAAAATTGGTTTAGTTGTGCTCAAAATATTGTTCACATATCTGTTCTCTTTCAAGTGACGTTCGAGTCTGTATGGAGTTGCTGTGCAAAATACTGCGGCAACCATTCACTAACTCCAACCCTGAACGAATTTCATCACATTTTTCCATACTTTGTTGTGGCACTTCTGTTAACAGGGCAATTACTGTGCCCCACGGGCCCCACACGTTCACAAGTAATTGCGATTCACACCACAGCACCTGGAGTACCGTTGATGTTCAACAACCATGAATTAGCAGGAGGACCAAGCGAACGTATCCTTCTGAGGACAAACCTCGACCACCGCCATAAAGTGCTTTCGGGCTTTCTACATCACGGGTAGTCAGCCATCCTTGTGCTTCTTGATGATGTCAACCAGCTCTTTCAGACACGACAGGTGGTACACGGCCCTGAGAAGAGACACGATTGAGAGAAAATTACTTGGTTGACTTATCATGGTGGAAGCCAGAACAATCTCACCAAGTCTCAGGAGGGTTTGGTAGTGATATTTTGCAAATTTCATCAGCGAGTGGTATGTGAGAGGAAACCGGAGAACCCGGTGAAAACAGAGGGAGTAAAATGCAAAACTCCGCAAATAGATTCAAGATTCCATTGCTGTATTACTAACTCCTGGTTACCTCTCAGCCAAAATCTCTAATATATGCTATTCCCAAATAGTCTCCCATCTAAGTAATAACCAGGCTTACCTGCTTAGCTTATAACATTCATAATCTGACATCATACTTAGAGGCGGTGCAGCGTCTAAGCTGTGCGTGAGTGTGAATATAAAGATAAATTCACAATGGCGTGGAGGGGTTTTCCCAGGGACGATCAGCCCCTAGGAAGATGTCTGTGTTGAATCTGCCCGGGGAGGGGGCCTCCAAGCCGGGGGAGTCCAACGCCATGTGCGCCCTGCTCAGCAGCTCCTCCAATGAGGCTGTGCATCAAGAATCACGCATCGCATGTC